GGTTGCAGTGAGCCAAGATCGTGCCAGTGCACTCCAGCCTGGGAGACAGAGCAAGGACCCCATCTCAAAAAAAAAAAAAAAAAAAAAAAAAAAAAGTTTGTAGGTTAACTTTTAAAACTTTTTTTTTTTTTATTTTGAGATCGAGTCTCGCTGTCACCCAGGCAGGGGTGCAGTGCCACGATCTCAGTTCACTGCAACTTCTGCCTCCCAGGATCAAGCAATTCTCGTGCCTCAGCCTCCCAAGCAGCTGGGATTACAGGCGTCTGCCACCATGCCCTGCTAATTTTTGTATTTTTAGTAGATACGTGGTTTCACCATGTTGGCCGGGCTGGTCTTAAACTCCTGGCCTCATGTGATCCATCTTGACCTCTCAAGGTGCCAGGACTACCGGCAAGCCAATGGCACCTAGCTGGCCTACCTTTTAAAACATTTTATCTTACAGACTTTTTCTAATTTTCAGTGGCACTAATTTACTCTCATAATGAAAACCAAAAGCACTACTCACATCAAAGCCAACTTATGCACCTACAGAAGGAGCCCAAACCATCAAAAAACAAACAAAAAAACCCCTCAAGCTAAAATTCATTTACACCTTATATTCCTTTTCATGAAGTGGGTCAGATACCGCAAGAGCATTAACTACTTAATGAGGGAGAAAACTATGATTTGCAGATATGAGAGTATACGAGGTCACAAAGTGAACACTGCAAGCTAAGGGGTGAGGGGGCACAGCAAGAAGCACTCCAAGACTCAACAACAAAAGTTTGCGTGTGCTGTGCTGTTAACTTTGGGCATCTCCCTGGTTTCTTAGACATTCCCTAGATCTGGGACACCAGTAAAGCTTTTTTAAAAAAGAAAGGAAGAAAGAAAAGAGCCCAGCTACTCAGGAGGCCGAGATGGGAGGGGTTTGAGGCTGCAGTGAGCTACGACTGGCTGCATTGTTCTCCAGCCTAGGTGATATAATGAGACTGTCCTTTGAAATAACCAACCAAACAAAAAAAAACACGGAGAGTGACAGAAGGAGGGCGAAAAAGTGTTTTGTTTTTTTTTTTAAGACAGAGTTTTGCTCTTGTTGCCCAGGCTATATAGTACAATGGCACGATCTCAGTTCACCGCAAACCCCGCCTCCCGGGTTCAAGCGATTCTCCTGCCTCGGCCTCCTGAGTAGCTGGGATTACAGGCATGTGCCACCACAGCCGGCTAATTTTGTATTTTTTTTTTTTTTTTTAAGTAGAGACGGGGTTTCTCCATGTTGGTCAGGCTGGTCCCGAACTCCCAATCTTAGGTGATCCGCCCGCCTCAGCCTCCCAAAGTGCTGGGATTTTTTTTTTTTTTAAATGGAGTCTCGCTCTGTCACCCAGACTAGAGGCAATAGCGCAATTTTGACTCACTGCAACTTCCACCTTCTGGGTTCAAGCAATTCTCCTGCCTCAGCCTCCCAAGTAGCTTGGATTACAGGCGCCCGCCACCACACTGGCTAATTGTTTTGTATTTTTAGTAAAGATGGGGTTTCACCATGTTGGCCAGGATGGTCTTGAACTCCTGACCTCAGGTGTTCCGCCCACCTCAGCCTCCCAAAGTGCTGGGATTACGGGCGTGAGCCACCACGCCCGGCCATGAAAAAGCAAGTTCTAACATGAAGGATGACTGTTAAAGTCACGCTGCCAGACAACAGTTTGGCTGGAAATCAGAAAGCATCAGTGAAGAGTAAGGAGGCACATAAACTAAACAGTTTCATAAACAGTACACAAACTACAACCATCCAGTAAATATCCCTGATGGAACACACCACGCCTGACAATACCTAATCTGTTAGTTAATTCATGAGGACATACTGGTAAAGAGTGAAGGTGTATTTAAATCTCAATTAAAATTTGGAAAATACGGTAGGAAACATGAAAATACTAACCAATAAGCATGAGTACAAGTATCTGCAGATGAATTATACTGATCTAACCAGTGCATCAGGGCATCATCTGAGACGACCTGTAAAAATGAGAAAAATTTCACTGAAAACAGTATTGCTTTAAATAAACTGGTTACCTAGTCTCGACTATAATTCTAAGAGGCAACCAATTTAAAATAATCTCTACACAAAAAGCCTTACCGTTGCCATTAACTGAATCTGAATGCCATTTCAAAAGTTCCGTCATGCTGGTTCCTCTTATACAATACATTTTTCAAATAACTACTTAACTTTGTTTTCAAATCAGAATGGCTACAAATAATAATATAAGGTAATATTAATAAAATAAAACCTAATAGTAAATGTTAGGAAAAATGGTCGCTTACTGTTTTCTATAAATCATTGCAAAATATAAACATAGAGGCATCCTCACAATAAAACTAAGAGGTAGTGAGAAGGGCTTTAAACATTCTAACTTTTGTGATTAGCATGGGAAGCTTCCTTTACTGAAGAGGTAAGCTATTTCAAATAATCATTTTAGGCTGGGCACGGTGGTTCATGCCTATAATCCCAGCACTCTGGGAGACCAAGGCGGGTGATCACTTAAGGCCAGGAGTTCAAGACTAGACTGGCTAACATGGGGAAACTCTGTCTCTACTAAACATACAAAAAAAAAATTAGCCAGGTGTGTAGCACATGCCTGTAATCCCAGCTACTTGGGAATCTGAGGCACAACAATCACTTGAACCCGTGAGGCGAAGGTTACAGTGAGCCAAGATTGCACTACTACACTCCAGCCTGGGCAACAGAAGGAGGCACCCTAGAAGTTTCTTAAGGCTGCAAACATTAAGACTGTGATATTAGCATTACAAAAGTTGACATTTTTCTTAAACCAGGCTGGGTGTGGTGGCTGACACCTGTTAATTCTAGAACTTTGGGGGGCAGAGGTGAAAGAATTGCTTGAGACCATGAGACCAGACCAGTCCAGCCTTTGCAACATAGTGAGATCTCATTAAAAAAAAAAAAAAAAAAGAGGAAAATATAATTTCATACCTAGAAAAACTATCTTAAACAATTTCAATATATTATAAAATAAGTTTGTTTTTTTTTTTTTTTTTTTTTTTTTTGAGACGGAGTCTTGCTCTGTCACCCTGGCTGGAGTGCAGTGGAACAATCTCGGCTTACTGTAGCCTCCATGTCCCAGGTTTAAGCGATTCTCCTGCCTCAGCCTCCTGAGTAGCTGGGACTACAGGCGTGCGCCACCACACCTGATTATCTTTTGTATCTTTAGTAGAGACAAGGTTTTACCATGTTGGCCAGGCTGGTCTCGAAATCCTGACCTCCAGTGATCCAACTGCCTCGGCCTCCCAAAGTGCTAGGATCACAGGCATGAGCCACCGCGCCCAGCCAAAATAAGTATTCTTTTTTTTTCTTTTGAGATGAAGTTTCACTCTTGTTGCTCAGGCTGGAGTGCAATTGCTCCACCTTGGCTCACTGCAACCTCCGCCTCCTGGGTTCAAGCGATTCTCCTACTTCAGCCTCCCGAGTAGCTGCGATTACAGGTATGCATCACCATCCCGGGCTAATATGTTGCATTTTCAGTAGAGACGGAGTTTCTCCATGTTGGTCAGGCTGGTCTCAAACTCCCAACCTTAGATGATCTGCCCGCCTCGGCCTCCCAAAGTGCTGGGATTACAGGTGTGAGCCACTACGCCTGGCCCAAAATAAGTGTTCTTATATAATATAAAGTACAAATGAAAAAATACCTTCTTATATTTCTTTTTTAGATCAGCATAAATTTCTAATTTGAGCTGTTTCCCAGTATTTGGTCGATAAACTAAGAAAAGTTTCTTTTTAGGATTCACTTCTTTAACTAAGATGGCAGTTTTCTTGTTGTTCCTTATCTGTTTAAAGAAAATGACAAAATATAAAGATTTTACAACACACACTTTAAGACATGTTTTTGTATCATCACATCAGCATATATAATCACTTGAGACTGTAACACTAAGTAAGTACCTAGATAGGTAACTTCAAAAAACACCAAAACTGCTTGTTTAAAAGACTGTAACATGGCCACACCCAAAGGGCAGTTATTGGACCTTAATTCCGGCTAAAACAAAGGTTAAAGACCAAAGTTATCTTCAGAAAACTATGTGGAATTAGCTTTAATGCACAAATGTCCAATACAGATCATTTTGCTTCTTTTATATCCTGTACCTGGAATCCCAATCAAGTAGCCTCAGAGAGATAAGAAAAACCAAGTGTAATAAAATGTTAACAGTAGAATCCAGGTAGTAGGCATTAGGGGTCTTCAGAGAAAGTTCTTTTAGCTCTGCTGTATGTTTTTAAACATCTCTCAGTAAAATGGAAAAATAAATATTACTCTCCTTTCAGGTTAACAATAGAATTCAAGCCTCTCCAAGCTAAGGCCTTGGATAGCCCCAGTGCTCTGCACTTGTCTACTCTGCCAGTACTGCCTTTCCTGATGTCACAGGGTTTTGAAGGGCAAAGTGAGAGATCACCTGATAAAGTGTTCTGTAAACAGCAAAGCTATGGCAGCAGAAAGCAAAAATGTTGAACAAATTGTCCACATATATGGAGATAAAAATGGAAGAAAGGGAAGCATTAGAGAAATGTTGGAATCCAGGTATGTATTTTTAACTTTTTTTTTTTTTTTTTTTTTGAGACAGAGCCTTGCTCTGTCACCAGTCTATAGTGGCACGATCTTGGCTCACTGCAAGCTCCGCCTCCCGGGTTCAAGGCGATTCTCCTGCCTCAGCCTCCCAAGTAGCTGGGACTACAGGTACCCGCCACCATGCCCAGCTAATTTTGTATTTTCAGTAGAGACAGGGTTTTTCCATGTTGGCCAGGCTGGTCTCGAACTCCCGACCTCAGGTGATCTGCCCGCCTCGGTCTCCCAAAGTGTTAGGATTATAGGCATGAGCCACCATGCTTGGCCTACTTTTAACTTTTTAAAGTTGGATTTATGAGAGAAACTTTAAGAGGAAGGAGTTACTCTTAAAAACTCCACTTAACTCAAGGAAAAACTGGAAAATTCATTTCTTCCATAATGAAGACTGAACAGCTTCTAAACAATCATTTCTGGAGCAACACGGAAGGAAAAAGAAAAGTTTCAAAGTAAAACCACTTTCCCAGCCCTCTAACACAATAAATCATTGTTTGTGGGGCTATTAACTTTTTATATTAATTCTTGTAATAAAAAACATAATCTTTTACTTTCTTCTTCATGAATATTAAAGACCCTTGGTCTCTTACTTTTTCCAACGAATTGAAACATTGTTTATATAATTACTGTAAAGTCATAAAACAATGGTTAAGGTGAAGATTATATTTAAAATTATTTATCAGCTGACAGGAAACATCCAAACCTATACTTACAGGATAGTGTTTAGACACTTAAGAATGGGCTCTGTCTTGACAGTGTCAGGTTAATTATACATCATCACAGAACAGTGGAAAGCGATTCTGACATTGACTTCCTAATGGCAGCACAGGTTACACACACTGAAAAGTATGGTGGCCTAATGCAGTGAAGGTTCAAAGGCAAACAAAGACCAGGAATGAGGTCTCTAGGGCCACCACTCCTCATGCCCAGCCACCTGTTGCCACGCAGAGAATGAAGGACCAGTATTACCACATCCTTCAACCTAAGGGAAGCTGGGGATCATGACTTTCATCACAATCTACCAACAGCGATATTCTGGCAATAATTTCAAATTAAAACTAACAACCAAGAGCCAGGTGCAGTGGCGCATGCCTGTAATCCCAGCCATTCAGGTGGTCAAGGTGACAGGATGGATCAAGCCCAGGAGGAGTTCGAGACTGTCCTGAAAACAATAACCAACGCCCTATGTGGACCAATCAAAATGGCCCCTATGGGGGAAAGCCAAGTAAAACACGTGAATTCTACCAATGTCAACATCTTGGTTGTGATATCACAATACAGTTTTGAAAAATATTACCACTGGGGGAACTGGTAAAAGTATGCAAGATGTTTATCTGCATCGTTTCTTATAATGACATGCAAATCAACCTACAGTTCAATCAGTATTTCAAAAACCCCAAAACCACCAAGGCACAGTAGCTGACAACTGTAATCCAGCACTTTGGGAGGCCGAGGTGGGAGCATCATTTAAGCCTATGAGTTTGAGACCAGCCTGGACAACACAGTGAGATATCAACCGCATTAAAAAAGAAAAAACAAAAAAACTAGCCAAGTGTGGTGGAGTGTACCTGTGGTCCCAGCTACTCAGGAAGATGAAGTGAGAGGACTGTCTGAGCCCAGGAGGTTGAAGCTGCAGTGAGCCGTGATCACGCACGCCACTGCATATCAGCCTGGGTGACAGTGGGAGGAGATCCCATTACAAAAAACAAAACCAAACCAGAAAACCCCAACTCAACTAGGAGCCAGATCTTTTGAGAGCTTTTCTCTAGATCAAGGATCAACAGCTTAGGCCTGTGGAATAAATCTAGCCTGGCGCTTCTAAACTGAAGTAAGTTTAAGAAGGAATGAAGGGGCCTGGTGCGGTGGCTCACGCCTGTAATCCCAGCACTTTGGGAGGTGGAGGCGGGGGGATCATGAGGTCAGGAGATCAAGGCCATCCTGGCTAATATAGTGAAACCTCGTCTCCACTAAAACTAAAAAACTTAGCTGGGCGTGGTGGCACACGCCTGTAGTCTCAGCTACTCAGGAGGCTGTAGCAGAAGAATCGCTTGAACGTGGGAGGCGGAGGTTACGGTGAGCCAAGATCGCGCCACTGCACTCCAGCCTGGGTGACAGACTGAAACTCTGTCTCAAAAAACAAAAACAAAACAACCCCAAATATCTTAAGAGAACTGGTGAAATAAAAACTATGTTGTCTAAAGTAAGTCAGTATGAAACTCAAGATACTGTTAAGTATCTATACATATATGTATAGTTATGTGTGCACACACACACCCCTTAGTTCTGTCCACAGAGACAAATCATAACTGAAATAATGCAGCTGTTTTACTAACTGAAAAATGAGTCTTCAAGATATAAAGCATTATTAAGACTAAAGCAAGTCTCTGTCTTATGAAAAATGCTTAATTTAAGAAAATGTTGGCCGGGTGCGGTGGCTCATGCCTGTAATCCCAGCACTTTGGGAGGCTGAAGTGGGCAAATCACGACGTAAGGAGATTGAAACCATCTTGGCTAAGATGGGGAAACCCCATCTCTACTAAAAATGTAAAAAATAATTAGCCGGGTGTGGTGGCGGGCGCCTATAGTCCCAGCTACTTGGGAGGCTGAGGCAGGAGAATGGCGTGAACCCGGGAGGCGGAGCCTGCAGTGAGCTGAGATTGCGCCACTGGACTCCAGCCTGGGCGACAGAGCAAGACTCCGTCTTTTAAAAAAATAAAAATAAAAAAAAATAAAAACAATAAAGAAAATGTTAACAATTCAGCCAGGCGTGGTGGCTCACACCCATAATTCCAGCACTTTGGGAGGCCAAGGCAGGCAGATCATCTGAGGTCAGGAGATCGAGACCAGCCCGGCCAACATGGCGAAACTTTGCCTCTACTAAAAATACAAAAATTAGGAAGGGTGATGTGGCTCACGCCTGTAATCCCAGCACTTTGGAAGGCTGAGGCAGGCAGATCACCTGAGGTCGGCAGTTCGAGACCAGCCTGATCAACATGAAGAAACCCTGTCTCTACTAAAAATACAAAATCAGCCAGGCCTAGTGGCACATGCCTCTAATTTCAGCTACTCGGGAGGCAGAGGATGTAGTGAGCCGAGATCGCACCATTGCACTCCAGCCTGGGCAACAAAGAGCGAAACTCTGTCTCAAAATAAAAAGAAAATATAAAATTCTAAACTCGCATCTAATAACATCCTTTAAAATGCATTAAGTAAAAACGTAATACAAATGGACAAACCCACAATTACAATGATAAATTACCAAAACAGAGAAAGCTAAACACAACTGGGAAACAGGTACAAAGTGAAGAGACAATTACAATATTGGCCATTAAAAAGTATTATATATCTGAATAGCATTTAAAGGAAAAGTCGTACTTGCAATGACAAGTAAAAGCCATCGTCTGGTCCTGTCAGCTCAGCCCAAATCTTGGTAGCTTCCTCCCATGACATTCCCCTCTCTACACTAATCTGTAAGAGAAACAACAAAATTTAAACTCATTTCTGTAAATGCATCTCATGGGAAGACGATAATTCCACATGCACAACATTTTCTAAACTTACTGTGTATAATTCTACGTGGCCAGAGGTTGAATACCCTGGAGTCAGAAACTTTTTAACATCACTCTTCCTCACCTTTTCATCTCCAGAACCAAGATCTTGAACAACAGAAAGAAACATATAAATGTAAAAAGAACATTTTTATAAGGTACACACATTTAAAGAATTTCTCCACTCCACATTTTCCCTGCGGGCGTTGGGAAGGATATTTTCCCTACTTACCTAAGATTCCCATATCGTATCTTCCATTTTTTTTGGCATTTTGAACAACTGCAGTAAGTGTGTCCGCAAAATACTGAAATAATGCGTTCTGCTGATGTACCTCCATGCCTAAAATTCTATTTAAGAATTTCCCTATGTTGTTATAATCTGTAAAGACAAAAGATGAATGTTTTCATGCATTCAAATAATTAAAAATTTTTTATTCATCTAGGCTTAGTTCGAGTCCCACTTTCTCTTCTAAAAGTCTTCCTTCTTAACTCTTACACTGTCCTCACAAGGCTGTAATCTGCCCATTTCTCTCTCTAGGAATTAGCACCACTGCAGGATATGCTCAAAAGAGGTTTGTCAAACTGAATTCTCAACTGTAGCGGCACAATTAGAATGTCTGGGAGCTTTGGGAAACTACAAATGTCTAGGCTCCACCCCTGACTTCAGTAATTTTTTGTTTTGTTTTGTTTTTTGAGACGGAGTCTTGCTCTGCTGTTGCCCAGGCTGGAGTGCAGTGGTGCAATCTTGGCTCACTGCAACCTCCCCATCCCAGATTCAAGTTCTCCTGCCTCAGCCTCCCGAGTAGCTGGGATTACAGATGTCTGCCACCACGCCTGTCTAATTTTTGTATTTTTAGTAGAGATGGGTTTCCACCATCTTAGCCAGGATAGTCTTGGACTCCTGACCTTGTGATCTGCCTGCCTTGGCCTCCCAAAGTAATGGTATTACAGGCATGAGCCATCATGCCCAAACAATTTTTTTTTTTAGACGGAGTCTCGCTCTACTGTTGCCCAGGCTGTACTGCAGTGGTGCAATCTTGGCTCACTGCAACCTCTGCCTTGCGGGTTCAAGCCCCACAGCAGCCAAAACCACCCAGAATGTTTTCAGAACATGAAGCTTCCCCTTTGGCTCAAAAGCATACGTCATAATGGACTTTAATACTATAGCAACAGTTATGTGCTACACAAAGTTAATAGTAGTACCTTTATCGAGAGTAAGAATTCCCGAGCGATCTTCTACATTTATCAGACCAACTCCTATCAGTCCTTGTCGAACATCTGTAAGAACAGGATCAACTCTGACTCATAAATTACAAGAGATGTCTACAATGTACCACTAAGTGAGAAAAGGATGTTGCAAGTAACATCATGCCATTTAAAAAAAAAAAACCTTGATATTTATATAAACATGGAGAAAATGTGGAGAGAACTGCCCCTGTTCACACTGTCATCTGTGACCTAAGAAGGTGAGAATGGAAGGAGGGTTAAGAGGACCACATTAACTCTCTTCATTATACATGTTAAGATTCTTTTCTTTTTTTTTGAGTCTCACTCTGTCACGCAGGCTGGAGCGCAGGATGCGATCTCAGCTCACTGCAACCTCTGCCTCACGGGTTCAAGCAATACTCCTGCCTCAGCCTCCCGAGTAGCTGGGACTACAGGCTAATTTTTGTATTTTTAGTAGAGACAGGGTTTCGCCATGCTGGCCAGGCTGGTCTCAAACTCCTAACCTGGAGATCCACCCAGCTCAGCCTCCCAAAGTGCTGAGATTACAGGTGTGAGCCACTGTACCAGGCTGCAACATTATTGTCATTACTTATAATAAACAAGTTATCTATCTATCCATCTATCTAATAATTTTTTGAGACAGGGTCTGACTATGTCGCCCAGGCTGGAGTGCAATGGCATCATCTTGGCTTACTGCAACCTCTGCCTCCCAGGCTCAAGGGATCCTCTCACCTCAGCTTCCTGAGGAGCTGGGACTACAGGCGTGTACCACTGTGCCCGGCTAATTTTTTTGTAATTTTTTTAGAGAAGGGGTTTCTCCATGTTGCCCAGGCTTGTCTTGATCTCCTGAGCTTAAATGATCCACCTGCCTTGGCCTCCCAAAGTGCTGAGATTACAGGTGTGAGCCACTGCGCCTAGCCATAACCTGTAATTTTAAGAAGTTAGAAATAAATCAAGGAGTCTTTTTTTTTTTTCTCCCTGAGACAGGGTCTCTGTCACCCAGGCTGGAATGCAGTGGTGCCATCACAGTTCACTACAGCCTCCACCTCCTAGGCTCAAGCAATCCTCACCCTTCAGCCTCCCAAAGTGCTGGGATTACAGGCATGAATCACCGCCCCCAGCCCAGGGAGTTGTTTCTGACACTGCTGATGTCAAAAGGAATGAAGGTATAGGGTCAACCTGGTCAACATGGCGAAACCCCATCTCTATTGAAAATACAAAAATTAGCCAGGTATAGTGGCGGGCATCTGTAATCCCAGCTACTCGGGAGGTTCTGGCAGGAGAATCCTTTGAACCTGATAGCGGAGGTTGTATGAGCCAAGATCATGCCATTGCACTCCAGCCCAGGTGACAGTGCGAGACCTTGTCTCAAAAAAAGAAGAAAAAAAAAAGACATTTCCAAATACACGAACGAAAAAAGGCTATGCCACATGTATCCATCACCCAGTTTAAACAACTGTGAATTCATGGCCAATTTTGTTTCATTCAAACCTCCCACCCCTACCAATCAATCCTCAAAGATTACTTACCTAGGTACTTTTTCAACTTTAAATTGAATTTTAAAAGTTATTTGGGGCTGGGCACGGTAGCTAATGCCTGTAATCCCAGCACTTTGGGAGGCTGAGGCGGACAGATCACAAGGTCAGGAGATCAAGACCATCCTGGCCAACATAGTGCAACCCTGTCTCTACTAAAAATACAAAAATTAGCTGGGCATGGTGGCTTGTGCCTGTAATCTTAGATACCCGGGAGGTTGAGGCAGGAGAATGGCTTGAACCAGGGAGTTGGAGGTTGCAGTGAGCCGAGATCACACCACTGCACTCCAGCCAGGCGACAGAGCAAGACTCGGTCTTAAAAAAAAAAAAAAAAGGCTATTTGGCAAAGTGATTTTACTTAATGTACTAAAACGACTTTCCTCTTTTAAATCTATTATTAGACAAACATGCTTTCACTATATCAACAGTAAGAGCACTTTCATTTGAATAAAATTTGCTTTAATAAATCTGTTTAATACAAGATACTTATGTGTCCTAGTAACCATTAATTTCAAAGTTTTATACAGTTTATGTCCAAAGAAAAAAACTAATATAACAGCAAACGTTACAACAGGTTTGAGTACATCTTTGTCAATAATCATTGTCGTTGTTATGAATATTTTTAAAACTTACCTTTAAAAAATTCTCCAGGATAGTCTGGAGGTGGTGATACCATAGGAGAATCCAAGTTTACAATGGATTTCATGACAATTTCTAAAGCATTTCTTCCATACTGCAAAAAAAATCAAAACCTTTAACCACTTTCAGCATTTGGATACTCTTCAATCACATTACCACCTAAATACTATAAAAACTATTGGCTGGGCACGTTGGCTCATGCCTGTAATCCCAGCACTTTGGGAGGTTGAGGCGGGTGGATACCCTGAGGTTGGGAGTTCAAGATCAACCTGACTAACATGGTGAAACTCCATCTCTACTACAAAAAATTAGCTGGGTGTGGTGGCAGACACCTGTAATCCCAGCTACTCGGAAGGCTGAGGCAGGAGAATCGCTTGAACCTGGGAAGTGGAGGCTGTAGTGAGCCAAGATGGCGTCATTGTGCTCCAGCCTGCACGACAAGAGCAAAAAACTCTCTCTCAACAAAACCCCCAAAAAACCACAAACTATTATTGTACCAAAGATTCAAAAAAGCAATTCTCAATTATCTTTATACTTATTTATTTTTTCTTCTTTTGGAGACAAGAGTTTTGCTCATCACCCAGGCTGGAGTGTAATGTCACGATCTCCACTCACTGCAACCTCTGCCTCCCGGGTTCAAGCGGTTCTCTGCCTCAGCCTCCCAAGAAGCTGGGACTACAGGTGCCTGTGGCCACCATGCCCAATTTTTTTTTTCCTTTGACACGGAGTCTTGCTCTGTCGACAGGCTAGAGTGCAAGGGGTATAAACTCGGTTCACTGCAACCTCTGTATCCCGGGTTGAAGTGATTTTCCTGTCTCAGCCTCCTGAGTAGCTAGGACTACAGGCTTGAGTCACCACGCCCAGCTAATTTTTCTATTTTTAGTAGAGACAGGGTTTCACCATGTTGGCCAGGATGGTCTCGATCTCTTGACCTCGTGATCCGCCCACCTTGGTCTCCCAAAGTACTGGAATTATAGGCGTGAGCCACTGTGCCCAGCCACACCCAACTAATTTTTATATAATTTTTTGAGACACAGTTTTGCCCTACTGCCCAGGCTGCAGTGCAGTGGCATGATCTTGGCTCACTGCAACCTCTGCCTCCTAAGTAGCTGGGACTGCAGGTGAGTGCCACCACGCCCAGCTAATTTGCTGTATTTTTAACAGAGACAGGGTTTCACTATGTTGGTCAGGCTGGTCTCGAACTCCTGACCTCAGGTGATCCACCTGCCTTGGCCTCCCAAAGTGGTCGGATTACAGGTGTGAGCAACCGATTCCGGCCTAATTTTTGTATTTTTTTTTTTTTTTAAGTACAGATGTGGTTGCACCAGATTGGCCAGGCTGGTCTCGAATGCCTGACCTCAGGTAATCCACCCACCTGGGCCTCCCAAAGCGCTGGGATTACAGGCATGAGCCATTGCGCCTGGCCTTTATATATATTTTATACTGCCTAATTCATGTCTCTACACATAGCAAACGTGAGAAAAATTAACTTCCTTTACTTCTGAGAACTCACAGTTAATTCATTCTCATTTGTTCTTGTTTTCCAAAAGGAATAAAGACAACCACATTGCTGTACTGATACTTAACATGTGATCTAACTTACATGTGAAATTCTGTCTTACAGGAAGTCATGATTTTAAAGCAAATGCATACGAGAGGCAGTTTTGTTTTAGACAGTAACTACCTTTCTTTCACGTTCCCTACAGCTACCATACACTATCACAAGTTTTCAGAGATACTGAAAGTTGAAATGTACCTTATTATCAAAGTTGAACCTGCTCAGATCCCTAGATTCTGTTGCTCTTCTATCGCCATGTGTAAGTGCCCCCTATTAAAACAAAAATTGCAGTCAAGGCACAGGTAACCTTTTACCAGAAAACAGGTACAACAGATCATCTTTTACACACAGCCACACAACTCCAAAACTCACCAAACTCTCAAGTCTTTTAGCAACAATAGATGCAAATCTTTGTTCTCCTGCCAGTTCAGAAATCAGAAAGACATATTCAGGAGCAGTCACTTGGTTTGATCTATGAGTTCGTCCTGCAACGAAATTTTTTTTTAAAGATCATTGATTTTGTTCGCTGAATAGAATATTCTGAGATGTATTCCTAGCATTTAATACTAAACTGGTATTGGGAAACCACTAAACAAGAAAAATTACAGATAATGTTAAATTACCAAAACACACATAAAACTGCTTAATGATAGAAGTATTAGCATTGCTATCTCAATTTTGCTTAACCACATGTTACTGATACACAGTTACTCTGGATTTTCCCACAACTGTTTTTCAAATCATTGGTCACAAGAACATGAAGATGGAGGGAGGAGCTGTGTGCCTTTGGTGAAGCTACTGAGGTTGGAAAAGCATATGGAAGTAGCAGCTTCTGATATGGACCTAATACATCCTTAAATTTTATAAGGACACTCCTTGAGGAGCCCTGTTCTTGGAACCCCACAAATTCCCACCATATATATATTTTTTACAACTTGTAAACAGGCAAAAAATGAATTCATAATGCATCATATACTATAAGGTACATATAACACTCCTTAAATGCAAGATCTGAGATTTCGAGTTATAAGATATAAGACACTGGCTGGGCACGGTGGCTCAAGCCTGTAATCCCAGCACTTTGGGAGGCGGAGGTGGGCAGATCACAAGGTCAGGAGATCGAGACCATCCTGGCCAGCACGGTGAAACCCTGTCTCTACTAAAAAATACAAAAAATTAGCCGGGCATGGTGGTGGGTGCCTGTATTCCCAGCTACTCAGGAGGCTGAGGCAGGAGAATGGCGTGAACCCAGGAGGCGGAGCTTGCAGTGAGCCGAAATCGCGCCACTGCACTCCAGCCTGGGCGACAAAGCGAGACTCCATCTCAAAAAAAAAAAAAAAAACATTAAACAGGATTTGTTGTTGTTGTTGTTAGAGTTTCGCTCTTGTTGCTGAGGCTGGAGTGCAATGGCTCGATCTCAGCTCACTGCGACCTCTGCCTCCTGGGTTCAAGCGATTCTCCTGTCTCAGCCTCCCGAGTAGCTGGGGTTACAGGTATAAGCCATCACACCCGGCTAATTTTGTATTTTTAGTAGAGACAGGGTTTCTCCATGTTGGTCAGGCTGGTCGCGAACTCCTGACCTCAGGTAATCCGCCCACCTCAGCCTGCCAAAGTGCTGGGATTACAGGCATGAGTCACTGCGCCCAGCCTGTTTTTGAAGTCACACTTTGTCACCCAGGCTCGAGTGCAGTGGTGAAATCATATCTCACCGCAGTCTTGAACTCAAGTAATTCTCCCACCTCAGCCTCCTGAGTAGCTGGGACTACAGACACATGCCATCACATCCAGCCAATTTTTCTTCTCTTTTCTTTTTTTTTTTTTTTGAGATGCAATCTCCCTATGTTGCCCAGGCTGGAGTGCAACGGCGTGATCTCAGCTCACTGCAGCCTGCGCCTCCCAGGTTCAAGCGATTCTCTGCCTCAGCCTTCTGAGTAGCTGGGAGTACAGGTGTGTGCCAACACACCCAGTTAATTTTTGTGTTTGTAATTTTAGTAGAGGCTCGGTTTCATCATGTTGACCAGGCTGGTCTCAAACTATTACCTCAAGTGATGCACCCACTTTGGCCTCCTAAAGTGCTGGGGTTACAGGCACAAGTCACTGCTCTCAGCTCAGTTTTTCTTTTCTTTTGGTAGAGACAGGGTCTCACTATGTTGCCCAGGCTGGTCTCAAACTCCTGGACTCAAATTATCCTCCCACCGTGGCCTCCCAAAATATTGGAATTACAGGCATTAGCCACTGTGCCTGGCCTAAACCTAGGTTTTGATATGCACAAATTTACCCAATGATTCCTAGCTGGATAATTAAGTGAAATCCAGTTGTAGGAACTTACCGAATTGCTGAATTGCTCTATCAGCGCTCCAGGGTAATTCTAAAGTCATATGAACTCTTCGTCTTTGATTTTTAGCTCTCCTATCTGCTTGTAATGAAATACCTGAGCTGGCAGCTTCTGAGATGATAGCAATATTCTGTGTCAAATATAAGAAAAATAAAGTCACCTTTGCGTAAGAACAAGCAGGCCAGTGCCTTAAATGAAGTCCTTCAGCAGACTGCTTACACTCTCCTTCTTTCTCAACAATAAGACTCCCAATTTTATTTCCCAGTCTCCCTTACAGCTAAGTGTGAACATTCTCCAGCCAGCAAGGTGTAGGTAAAATGTATGATGCACAGGAAATGTCCTTAAAAGCAGGCGACATGCCCTTCTCATCCCCTTGTCTCCTCTCTTTTAGGTAAAATGTAGAGGTAGTGACAGAGTCTGAAGCAGGTATCTTGGAATACAAAGGTAACTTGGAAATGGAGGCCCACGTAATTTAATGAACAACACGGAAGATGCCTGGGCTTCAAGGGGGCATACAAGCCCTTCTCCACCTACCCAAATGTGTCCATGAGAGAAATAATCTTCTCTCTTATTGAAACCAATACTTAACAGACTTTGTATTTTCTGTTATTTAGCAACCAAAACTAATTCCAACTACTGTAATTCCTAATGCATAAGGGTGTAGATTAATGAAGCAATTACATAAAATAACTAATACCTGTACCTACAATCTTGAAAATATGTATCATTAGCTTTTTGTATATATATATTTTTTGAGACAGGGTCTCACTCTGTCACACAAGCTGGAGTGCAGTGGTGCAATCATAGCTCTCTACAGTTTTCACCTCTCAAGCTCAAGCGATCCTTTCACCTCAGCCTCCCAGTAGCTGGGACTGTGGGCATGTACCACCATGTGACTATTTTCCCTGTACGGGGGGAGCGGGGGTCCCACTATGTTGCCCAGGCTGGTCTCAAACTCTTGTAATCCTACCACTTTTGAGAGGTTGAGGTGAATGGATCGTTTGAGGTCAGGAGTTCAAGACCAGCCTGGCCAACATGGCAAAACCCTGTCTCTATTAAATACACAAAAATTAGCCAGGTGTGGTGGTGTGTGCCTGTATTCCCAGCTACTTAGGAGGCTGAGGCAGAGAACTGCTTGAACCCGGGAAGTGGAGGTGGCAATGAGCCGAGATCGCACCACTGCATTCCAGCCTGGGGGACAAAGTGATGGTCCTTCTCAAACAAACAAAAAGTCTACAGAAAGAGTCTCTGGGTCAGCATAGTAGCTCATGCCTATAATCTCGGCATTTTGGGAGGCAGAGGTGGGCACATCACTTGAGGTCAGGAGTTCAAGAGAAGCCTTGTCAATATGGTGAAACCTGTCTCTGTCAAAAAATACAAAAATTAGCCAGGCGTGGAGGTGCGTGCCTGTAGTCCCAGCTACTCGGGAAGCTGAGGCACGAGAATCACTTTGACACAGGAGGCAGAGGTAACAGAGTTGAGATCACGCCACTGCACTGCACTCTAGCTTGGGCAACAGAGTGAGACTCTGTCTCAAAAAAAAAAAAAAAAAAAAAGAGTCTCTGGAGGCACCCAAAATCTCTACAATGGTTGGATATGGGAATGTAATCTATAAGCCATTTACAGTAAATCATCTTAATATAAAATGATACAGCAATAAAATACGCAGTGAAACCAAAGTTACTAGTAATATGGACATAAATATTTTAGACTCAAAATCAGAATGACACTACAATGACATTAGATGTCACAACACCAAGACGAACTAAGAGAACTTTTTTTTTTTTTTTTTTTGAGACAGTTGCCCAGGTTGGAGTGCAATGGTGCAGTCTTGGCTCACTGCAACCTCCGCTTCCCAGGTTCAAGCTATTCTGCTGCCTCAGCCTCCTGAGTAGCTGGGACTACGGGCACCTGCCACCATGCCCGACCAATTTTTGTATTTTTAGTAGAGGTGGGGTTTCACCATGTTTGCCAGGCTGGACTTGAACTCCTGACCTCATGATCCGCTCGTCATGGCCTCCCAAAGTGCTGGGATTACAGGCATAAGCCACCATGCCCGGCGTGAACGAAGTGTTTTACATCATGATTAAATATTTCAAAAGCCTCCAAAGTACTCAAGAGCCATATCTAATTCTATGCATTATACACAATATTTATTACATTCAATGATAAAATAATAAAAGCATGTAAAATATTCAGTAAGTAAGGGAAATTACTAAAAAAATATACGTAATAGCTCTGTTGCCCAGGCTGGAGTGTAATGGTGCGATCTCGGCTCACTGCAACCTGCGCCACCAAGGATTAAGCTATCCTCCCACCTCTGCCTTCTGAGCAGCTGGGACTACAGGCATGCACTACCACACCCAGCTAATTTTTTGTATTTTCAGTAGAGACGGGGTTTCACCATGCTACCCAGACTGGTCTCAAACTCCAGAGCTCAAATGATCTACCCGCCCTGGCCTCCCAAAATGCTGGGATTACAGGCCTGAGCCACTGCACCTGGCCAATATTTATTATATTTAATGACAAAATAATAAAAACACATACAATATTCAGTATGTACAATTACTAAAAAATACAGAATGACAATACTCAATGGACATAACTTATATTAAAAGGAAAAAAACTCTTCTGAAGCTTAATCTAAATATACGGGAATTGTTCTTTTCACTGAGAAACATCCTAGTAAAACATACCTTATCTCCATCCATAAATCGTTGTTTTTCTGTGATGTTTAGTATTTCCACAGGCACATCAAGTTCAGATCTTGACTCATAAGATATGCTTCCATCATCGTTGCTCACAACCCGTCCCTTGCGACCGGTCATCTGAGAAGCCAAACAATGTCATTACAATGAAGGTATCTGACTGCGGTGGATAGACTCAGTGCCTCTCTCCTTAAAGACACTTGGGAGATATGAGCACGGGCTGTGCTGCACCAGGCACTGAAGGATACAGAACACTGTAACGTAGTCCCTGGAAAAAGCTTGACACATGGCCACGATCACAAAAGATGATGCGTGACAAGTGCAGTAACTAGGACCAGTGGCTTGGGACGACACTCAGATACTGGAGGCAGCAGTTCACTGGGTGCAGGATGGCAACAAAAGTAGAACAAGAATTCTATGATCTAAGAAATTTAGATTATTATGTGATAATACTATAAATGCAACTCATTTTACAGGGGTTCAAATGGCAAAAATGTCACCAAGAGATACAGGCCTATTTACCTCAGCAACGTTCTCAGGGCCACCAAGTTCATCGATAAGTTCATCCAGGGTATTAGGGGGGAGGTCTTCAGCTAATTTTTCTAACTTATCAAGCAGGTCTTTCTTCATCTGCTGAGCCCTTTCCACAGCATCCTGACTTGTTATAAGGCTATTGTTACTGTTGGTGTTACTGTTAGCTAGGTAAAGAACATTTGTTAAAACTTAGTACAAAGTTTAAATATTTTTGTTTAAAAGAGTATTTCAAAAAGGAAGTTTCTATATGGATACCTGGTGTACTGTTAGGAGCAGGTGAGATAACTGGTGTAGATGAAAAACTAGGTCGTTTTGATCCAAGACCTGATGCTAATAAGGCACTTTGAATAGAATCTGGATCTATACTTTTCTTCTTTTTTTTCTCTTTGTTTTTCTTGTGGTCTTTTCTGATTAACCAGGGATCTGAGTGTTAAGGAAAGATATATGTCAAATCACTTGTTAAAACAAGTACAGAATCTTCAAAGGGAACAGCCTTTGAAATTTTTTCTTTTTTAAGACAGAGTTTCACTCTTGTTGCCCAGGCTGGAGTGCAATAGCGCAATCTCGGCTCACTGCAACCTCCACATCCCAGGTTCAAGTGATTATCCTGCCTCAGCCTCCGAGTAGCTGGGATTACAGGCATGTGCCACCACACCCGGCTAATTTTGTATTTTAAGTAGAGACAGGGTTTCTCCATGTTGGTTAGGCTGGTCTCGAACTCCCAGCCTCAGGTGATCCGCCCACCTCAGCCTTCCAAATTGCTGGCATTACAGGCATGATGAAATTTTTTATAGTGTTAACTGATAATTGATCACTACCTACATTAGTCATCCATACACCACAGGGTACAAATCCATGTTTTCAAGTTAAAAATAACTGCACAAAATTGAGGTTATCTTATCACATATATGAGGCTGAAACCTCCAGAAGGTAGATAAGCCTGGAGCTCTCCACCAAGCAAAGATTAGAATCTGTGTGATCATTTGTACTGTATAGAAGAAAAGGTTTCATACCCCATTTTCAAATACACTGAAATATTAATTATGCCTTAGTGCATATTTAATATACTGAACTTACCATTTTCATCATCCTCACTAGACTCATCTCTAAATGGGTTGAAATCGTCATCATCTCCAGAACTCATGTTTTTAGAGCTCTCATAGTCACTTTCTTCATTATCAGAGGCATCAGATTCACTTCCACTGTCATCAGAACTGCTACCAGTAAGGCCACCTACTTTTCGTGCTTTTTTGGCTTCTCGAGTTATTTCTTCACCTACCCCCAGTCACAAACAAGAGGGTCAGCCCAAATTCAATGTTTCTTAAGATCCAGTACATCATATTTAGTTCATGAATTAATTCAAATGAAAAGTGCAGAGGAAAAGTATTTATGTAAGTCAAAGAACAAACAGAATTCACAAGTCAGTGCAACCTTTTGGACTCCCATAAAAAATAAGGTTATAAACATTTATTCTGAAGAAGAGACTGGATACAGAAGTACTAAGTCAAGACTGCCTTCAAGTGTACCAGTTTCAAAACAAATTCAGGACAACAGAGTAAAAGCAGAAACTCTGGCATAGTCACAATTTGTGTATCGGATTTGAGAAGAGGCCTAATAATTATAGGTTTATAGACACAGAATACTTAGAAAATCAACAGAAAATCAATTTATAAAACTTTTTTATTTTTGGAGATAGGGCCTCACTCTGTTGCCCAGCCTGGAGTGCAGTGCCACAATCATAGCTCACTGCAGCCTCAACTTCCCTGGCTCATGTGATCCTCCCACCTCAGCCTCTCAAATACCCGGGACTACAGGCACATGCCACCATGACCAGATATTTTTTTTCCCAGTGTCTCACTCTGTCTCTCAGGCTAAAGTGTAGTGGCATAATCTTGGCTCACTGCAACCTCCAGCCCCCGAGTTCAAGAGATTCTAATACCTCAGCCTCCCGTGTAGCTGGGATTATGAAGCGCCCTGCCACCAGGCCCAGCTAAGTTTTGTATTTTATGTAGAGATGGGGTTTCGCCATATTGGCCAGGCTGGCCTTGAACTCCTGACCTCAGGTGATCCACCTGCCTCAACCTCCCAAAGAGCTGGAATTACAGGCGTGAGCCACCGTGCCCAGAAAGAAGTCAACTTCTAAAATCCAAACAGGGCTAGGTGGGATGGCTCACACCTGTAATCCCAGCACTTTGGGAGGCCCAGGCAGGCACACTGCTTAAGCTCAGGAGTTCAAGACCAGCCTGGCTAACATGGCGAAACCCCGTCTCTACTAAAAATACAAAAATTAGCAGGGCACGGTGGTGCATCCCTGTAATCCCAGCTCCTTGAACCCAGGAGGCAGAGTTGCAGTGAGCCAAGATGGTGCCACTGCACTCCAGCTCAGGTGACGGGGACCCTGTCACCAAAAAAAAAAAAAAAAAAAAAAAAAAAAAAAAAAAAAAAAAAAAAGGGCTCTTTTAAAGAAGACTACTGAAACACCCAGCTCTCTATATATTAAAAAACAGGTTTCACAATATACAAAGACACAGGTTTTAGTTCCCATGCATCATTAACTATCTCTGTGAACCTAGGAAAACTCTTTAACCTTTAAATCTTTCTGTGCTTTAGTGACCTCTATCTATAAAACTGGAAAAATAAGATCTAATTTCATATGGACCTCTGCCAGGTTATATGGTAGAATGTATACAGCCAAGTGCTTAACACACTGCCAACCACCAGTGAATTGCTCAATTCCTAATTTAAAACGGGGATAACTTGTGCATTCAAAATTGTACAAGTGACAGTGAAAATTTGGAATCATTTGTGAATTCATGGAAGGCAGTTCATTTCCAAAATATAGCCACTTTCAAATGCTTATGTTTGTGGTATTTTCGACATCAACTATTCTTTTTTTTTTGAGACGGAGTCTTGCTCTGTCACCCAGGCTGGAGTGCAGTGGCGCAATCTCGGTTCACTGCAAACTCTGCCTCCCAGGTTCACGCCATTCTCCTGCCTCAGCCTCCCGAGTAGCTGGGACTACAGGCGCCCACCATGACGCCCGGCTAATTTTTTGTATTTTTAGTAGAGACGGGGTTTCACCGTGTTAGCCAGAATGGTCTCCATCTCCTGACCTTGTGATCTGCCCGCCTCAGCCTCCCAAAGTGCTGGGATTACCTATTTTTCCTTTTTTAAAGTACTCACCTTTCCGCTTCTTTATTTTATTTTCTTTACAAGGACTATCTCTTGGTGAACTGTTGTTACTTGGAGCTGTCAAATCGATTCCTAGCAAACTATAAAGTTTTTTCCTGTCTGGAGCAGGAAAATGTTTTTCAATGAGTGACTGCAACACACCTCTGTAGGAGAGAAACAGTGACAATTACTGATTCAGTTGACAAAGTAATTATATGTAAAGTCTTATTAAATATATTGAAATATACCTTGCTCAGTTTTACAAAATATTGATAAACAAGCTCAAATAAATTTTAATTTTCTAGCCCAAGGCTGTCCAACTAAATAATAAGAACGCAAGCCAAACCACATACACAATTATTACATTTTCTGATCGCTTACATTAAAAAAGTAAAAATAAATAAAACTGGTGGAACTAACTTTAATAATACATGTTATTTAACTCAATGTACCATGTCAACACATATATTTTACATTATTTTTTCTTAAGGAGTCTTTGAAACCTGGCTCAGTACACACATACAAAACCATCTCAATATGGACCGGTCATTTCAACTGCTCAATAGCCACATGTGATGAGAGGCTGCCGTTCCGGACACGATAGTTCTAGGTAATCATGTACAGAAAAATATAGATTAGCAGGCGTATGTCTTGCTTTTTTTTTTTTTTTTTTTTTGAGACAGAGTCTTTGTCACCCCCGGCTGGAGTGCAATGGTCCAATCTCAGCTTACTGAAACCTCCACATCCTGGGTTCAAGCAATTCTCCTGCCTCGGCCTCTCAGGTGCCCGCCACCATGCCTGGCTAATTTCTGTATTTTTAGTAGCACGGGGTTTCACCGTGTTGGCCAAGCTGGTCTCAAACTCCTGACGTCTGGTGATTTGCCCGACTCAGCCTCCCAAAGTACTTGGATTACAGGGATGAGCCTCATGTATTGCTTATAAAAGGAGCATTTGAATGCATCCCGAGGCACAAAATAATAGAGCAGGAAGTTTATTTTGCTCAATTTACTACCAGAGTTTGAATCTGGAGGTTAGGCAAACTAAAAACAATGCCTAAAACATTTTAAAATCTATTTCTGAAGATCTCATGCTTATTTTAAACTTTATAGTAGACTTTCTTTTTTTTTTTTTTGAGACAGGGTCTCACTCTGCTGCCCAGAGTGGAGTGGAGTGGTGCTCACTGCAACCTCCACCTCCCGGGTTCAAGGGATTCTCCTGTCTCAGCCTCCCAGGTAGGTGGGACTACAGGGCATGTGCCACCATGCCCAGCTAATTTTTGTATTTTTACTAGAGATGGGGTTTCACCATTTTGGCCAGGCTGGTCTCGAACCACCGACCTTAAATGATGCGCCCACCTCGGCCTCCTAAAGTGCTGAGCTTACAGGTGTGAGGCACCACGCTCAGTCAACTTATAAAGTAGACTTTGTTACATTAGGACGAACTACAGTTACTGTTCCTGTAGATAATGGTAATTTCAAATACAGAACACTAAAACTGAAACTAAACCAAGCTGTCACAGATTTCCAAGATGTACAAGACAAACAAAACCAAGCCCTTCTGTTAGTTCACATACTCTACGTAATATTGGAAAAACGCTTAACATTTTAGGATTATAAGATTTCTGGTACTGTTTTCCAACAGATACACCGTCACAGAAAAGCAGAAAACTCAGATCAAGAAAACTCAAAGATGATGCAGGTGAATCAAAAGTTTTGTCTCCAGGCAATGCCCACATTGGAACTAATCTAAGTAAGAACTCAAAAAGAAAAACAAAAACATTACTTGGCAGTTGAAACAAAATCATTCAATTCTCCCCCGCCCTCTTCCAAAGCTTCTAATGTTCTAGCTTCTCCTGTAGACTGTAGACCAATTACAACACACTGGAGAAAAAAGAAAACATGTTAATTACAAATAATGTTTGTGGTTTCTTACCAAGACATATTTTAAATATTTAGCTAAACAAAGATTTCAAACAAGAATGTCCCCATTATTAAAACACACATTTGTTTTACTTATTTCTTCTATATATTTGAGACAGGTTATGTGTCAAAAATTTAGGCAGGAGACAGGATTACAGACAGTAGTAAGCAAGAGTGAAGCACCTGCCCTTGTAGAGTTTATAGTATCTTATCCTTTAAGTAGATAAACATTCACCAAAAAGAAAAAACCTTAATGCAATACACATCCATATGCTACCAGTGCTACCAGCTATGGATGACCAATTATAGTGATGTTTACTTTGTTATACTTTTCTGAATTCTCTAAATTCTCTAAGCAGGCATTGCTTTTATAATTTTAGGAAATGTGTTTTTTAAAAGTTCGACTACCCTTTAGGAAAACCCGATTTTACAAGCCGAAAACCTCAGCACCCACAAAGACTAAACAACATAACCCAAAACCAATAAATCTCTTACTGTGTTCTTCTACTTACTTTTCCATTCTTGATTTCCTCTCGAGCTAGTTGCACAACCCTTTTAACTTTGGATGCTATGCATAAGTATTTGAAGAACCTCTGGTGAGCAGACCAGAACTGACCCCACATGGACTTCTTCATTCGTTGCTCGGCATCAATCAGATCTGCAGCTTGCTGAAACCGCTCTCTGGCGATGACCCACTGAACATACACAATCAACATTTTAGACACTTCATCTTTGAGTCTAGTTATTTAAAAATACCAATTAAATCAAAATAATGTTAAGTGCAAGACCATTTAATATTAATTTAATAAATCATCTTTAGTAACTTGGGAATCTATTTCTCAGGATACTCACACAGTTGTCTCAAGTTTCTTATTACCTAATGCAGTTATTTTACAAAATAATGTGATTTTAAGAACTACGCAACTGAAATAAATGGCTCTAACTTATGAATTACCTTAACAAAATGAAAACATGGGAAATCTGAAATATAACAACATTGGTTAGACCAGGCGCAGTGGCTGAGGCCTGTAATCCCAGCACTTTGGGAGGCTAAGGCAGGTGAATCACTTGAGCCCAGATCAGGCTGGGCAACACTGTAAAACCTCATCTCTGCCAAAAAATACAAAAATTAGCCAGGCACGGTGGCACGTGCCTGCAGTCCCTGCTACTCAGGAGGCAGTGTTGGGAGGACTCCTTGAACCTGGTTGGTAGAGGTTGCAGTAAGCCAAGATCACACCACTGTACTCCAGTCTGGGTGACAGAGTAAGACCCTGCCTCAAAAAAAAAAAAAAAAAAAATCCACATTGGTTAAACAGCCTATCATCTGGTAACTCATCTGGTTTGTTTTGTTTTGTTTTTATTTTTGTTTAGCGATGGAGTCTCCCTCTGTTACCCAAGCTGGAGTGCAGTGGCACAATCTTGGTTCACTGCAACCTCCGCCTCCTGGGTTCAAGCAATTCTCCTGCCTCAGCCTCTCCAAGTAGTTGGCACTACAGGTGCGTGCCACCATGCCTGACTAATTTTTTTCCGTACTTTTAGTAGAGATGAGGTTTCAACATGTAGGCCAGGCTGGTCTCGAACTCTTGACCTCAGGTGATCCGCTCGCCTCAGCCTCCCAAGTGCTGGGATTACAGGCATGAGCCACAGCGCCTGGCTTCATCTGTTGTTTTATAGCAGAAATACATTCCCACGGGCAGGAGGCATCACAATCACCAAAACTAACAGAAACATTATCAGATACATTAAATAAACACTAGGAAAGAAGAAAAATTCCTCACCAGCTTGACGGCTTTGTTATACATTTTAACATAGCTCTGAGAAAGAAGAACTTCCTCAATTTTGAAGGTCACTCCAGTAAAGCTCAGCTGTCGAGCAATGTACATTCCTCTAAGCTTCATATCCATAGCAACTATTTCCATGGCACCAACTCCTCTGAATAAAATTAAAACATACAGTAACTACCAATAAAGTTGAATTTTAACATACAGAGAACGGGCTTTAGGAATAACACATTTCTTAGATTGCTACTGAAAACAGTATATACCGTAAACTGCATTACCTCCGTTCTACTGCTTGAATAAAATCACTGAATTCTCTAAATGGAGTACCCTCACCCCATATGCCAAGACGGTTCATATAGGCCATGTTGCGTGGTTCAGAAGCACCTGAAAATCCCACAAATGAAATATATTATAGTTGAAACAATAACCTACAATATATATTTTTAAATAAATAACTACTCACCAGTTGCACTAGCATAAACAACTCTGGCTTTTGGCAATTTGTTCTGAAGCTCTAAAACTGCTAAGCCTGTCTTGGTTGGCTTTGAAGAACCAACAGGACATAAGTTTTTGGCTTTATGACACTCATCAAACACTATCTAAATGGAATGAATTAAGGAATGTACCACGTCAGTATTAAGTATCTCCAGTCTTTCAAGAAGAGTTAACTTTTATTTCCCTGAGGCCTTCTGATTGTCTACTTTATGACTACAAATACACAGGAAGTCCTATGGGCCTTTCCCCAGTTACATCCTCCTCCCTCTAGCCTCAAAGACATTCACTGAATTTGGAATTTATCTAAACCAGCAATTTGCTTCTAAATTAAAACAGAGAAAAGAACCCACTGCAGCAAGAAGTTGTTATTTGGTAACTTATATCAGCAGAAGCATGATTGGTAACCAACTTAATCAGCATTTCAAAAAGTGACGTTCCTCATGCAGGACAGTTAAAAGACATACTGTGAACAAGTTTGGGACCACTAAGTTCTAACAGTTTTCTTTCTCTGAATCTTCTCGGGTATTCTGCTATGTAAATATGCAATGTTAATCCTCAAAAGGGGAATACAATATTCAGTATTCCTCATATCTATTAACATTTTTCCAAACCAGGAGGTTAGTTTCCTATCTGACAGGTAAAAAAACGAATCAACTTTCCAATCCCTTTGTACTCTAGGTAATCATTGAAGTTTACACTCCAGCAGTTCGTTTAATCTCAAGATTCCTGTTTCCCAAAAGTCTACCCTTTTACAATTTTCTTATCATTAAAAAATAGAAAAATATTTGCCATAAAGGATACCACTCCATCGAAGTCATCACCACACCAATGCAGAAGTTGTTTTAACCTAGTTTTGTACTTGCCGCCAGACTGGCTTTCACCAATAAGTGAAGAGTAAGTAGCAAAAATAACACCCTTTTTCACACTCCCATTATGTTTGGAAGAAATTTTTCCATATTTAAACTAAAAAAGAAAAGAAAATAATTTAGTTAATTAGCATACCTTTCTCTCTGAAACACTTATCCCAACTAAACATTCACAAGCAGGAACTCTTGTTAGGCCCATGACAGGCTTCAGAAAACACAAAAGTACAAGGAGACACAAATTTCTTTGTATAGATGTATATAACACAAACACACAACTTTATAGTACAAAAATCCAGTTTTTGGTAGGGCACAGTGGCTCACGCCTGTAATCCCAACACTTTGGGAGGTCAAGGTGGGTGGATCGCTTGAACTCAGGAGTTCAAGACCAGCCTGGCGAATATAGTGAAACCCCATCTCTGCAAAAAATACAAAAACTAGCCAGGCATCATGGCGCATGTCTGTAGTCCCAGCTACGCCAGAGGCTGAGGTGGGAGAATTGCTTGAGCCTGGGAGACAGAGGTTGCAGTGAGCCGAGATTACGCCACTGCACTTCAGTCTGGGAGACAGAGCTGAGATCTTAAAAAAAAAAAATCCAGTTTTCAAAGTCTTAAAAACTTTATTACCACGAAAAAACATTAAAAACCAGACAAACTCCCCTATAAGAGAAAAAAAGTCACAACTTACATTTATAGTGCACTTACTATATGCAAAACACCGTGATTAATTTCTGATACATAAGAATTATGAGTAGTTGTTAATGCGCCCTTCTAATACTACTCTGAAATAAAAAAAAAAAATTCTAGATGCCAGTTACATCCTTTTAGTTCTGAACTATACACAGTCATTCAAGACACAGTATTTTACAGCCACAAATCCACCCAGTAAAAACCCACCCTAACAAGCCAGTTTAGGGCAACACTGAATTCAACTTAGGACTCGCACGGGAAGTAGAGGTGCAGTTACTTATTTTCTTTTTTTTTTTTTTTTTTTTTTGAGACGGAGTCTCACTCTGTCCCCCAGGCTGGATGGAGTGCAGTGGCCGGATCTCAGCTCACTGCAAGCTCCGCCTCCCAGGTTCACGCCATTCTCCGGCCTCAGCCTCCCGAGTAGCTGGGACTACAGGCGCCCGCCACCTCGCCCAGCTAGTTTTTTGTATTTCTTAATAGAGACGGGGTTTCACCGTGTTAGCCAGGATGGTATCGATCTCCTGACCT